GAGATCTGCTAGCCTCTAACTTCCGAGTTGCTGGGATTAAAGAGTTGCTGGGATTAAAAGTGTGTGCCACCACACTCATCTCCATGCTCTCTTCTGACCTGGAGCACACACATGCAATAAAATAAAACAATTTTAAACAAATAAATCAAATAAACAATGAAGCCAGAATGGAGTACAGAACCCAGCCCACTCTTGGGTGTTTAGCTTGCTCCAGGCCCTACCGATCAGTGAATGTGGGCAGGGGATTACCTCTCGTGGTCCCGGGCCCTGCCGATCAGTGGGTGTGGGCAAGGGTTACCTCTCGTGGTCTCAGGCCAGGTCTTGGCTCTCCCAGCTGCGTTTGGTACTGTTTCAGGGCCTTTTTGGCAGCCTCGTCCTCTGGGTAGAAGAGCAGGACACTCAGGGCATTTTCCATGGCCTTAGACACGTTCCCCACTGGAGATGGGGCAAGGTGGGGAGGGAACAGCAACAAACAGGATAGAACAAAGAAAGCTGCTGGTCACCTGGAAAGGCCACCAACTCCCAGAAGCCCCAAAGCATCCTCAAACATACCTTCAACAGCAGAGCTCAAAGAAGAGGAAGAGGGAAGGACATAAAGGAAGGTGAGAAGCAACAAGGGCTGAAGGACCCAGTGACCCATCTGAGCTTTGCACAGTGGTGTCAAAGGACCCCATCCTGAAGCGTTGGTCCCCAGGGGCCCTGACAGTGAAACTATCAATGCAGAGTCAGGTGGAAAAAAGGAGGGACAGACGGGGTTCAGAATGGCAGCAGAGACACATCTTCACTCCCAGGTCCATCCTTCCCAAGCTGACCCTGAGAATAGGCCTCATGCAGTCCCCTCAGCTGGCTGGGAAGGAAGTCAGGGACAGGGAAGCTGCGACCAGGACGGGTGGCTGCATCTGCCACACAGTGCTGCCGGCACAGCAGAACCCGGATCCAGTGTCCTGCAGAGAAGGCAAAGGAGCCACAGGTTGTGCATGGTCCTCCCCGGCATCCGTGCTCTCCCACAGCACACAGTCCAGCCCCTCGTCTGTCGTGGGATATTATTTTAGATGTGTTACATTTGTTTATGCTGGGGAACATTTGTTTAATGATGCAAAGGTGTGTTGCATTCTTTTATGTTGCATTTGTTTAACTCTGTGAAGCTGTGTTACTGTGCCTGTCTAAAACACCTGATTGATCTAATAAAGAGCTGAATGGCCAATAGCAAGGCAGGAGAAAGGATAGGCGGGGCTGGCAGGCAGAGAGAATAAATAGGAGAAAAGGAGGGATGAGGAAGCAAGAGATTTAGGAGCAAGAGAAGGAGGAGGACTCCAGGGGCCAGCCACCCAGTTACACAGCAAACCATGGAGTAAGAAGGAAAGAAAAGATATATAGAAATAAGCCGGATGGTGGTGGTGCACGTCTTTAATCCCAGCACTCGGGAGGTAGAGCCAGGCAGATCTCTGTGAGTTCAAGGCCAGCCTGGTCTACAGAGCGAGTTCCAGGACAGGCACTAAAAAGCTATACAGAGAAACCCTGTCTCGAAAAACAAACAAACAAACAAAAAAAAATATACAGAAATACAGAGAGGTAAAAGCCCAGAGGCAAAAGGTAGACAGGATGATTTAAGTTAAGAAAAGCTGGCTAGAAACAAGCCAAGCTAAGGCCAGGCATTCATAAGAAATAATAAGCCTCCATGTGTGATTTATTTGGGAGCTGGGTGGCGGGCTCCCAAAAGAGCTAAAGAGCAAAAGAGTAAAAACAACCAACTATACTCACCTGCAATGGCTTCATACAGGCCCCCCTGGCTCCCCTCTTCCTCCTCCTCTCCTGCCCCCTGCTGCTCCTCAGGCCCCTCACAGCCAGCACGACAGCTCTCCATATGGGCCAGGCTCCCTTGGAGGGCCTCCTCTAGCTTGGGCAGTGCCAGGGCTGCCTCCTGCTGCCCCAGTAGCTCCAGGCCAGTGTCATAGGCTGCCTGTGGGGAAAGGGAGCAAGGTCGGTGTGTGTGTGGGGGGGGGACATCAAACACGACTGGGAGATCAAAGGGCATGGTGGCATATGCTTTTCATCCTAGCACAAGGAGGCAGAGACAATTGGATCTCATTGGCTTTGAGGCCAGCCTGGTAGACAATAGTGAGTTCCAGGACAGCCAAGGGCTACACAGTGAGACCCTGTTTCAAAAAGAAAGATAGGCCAGGCAAAAGTGGTAGCACAGGCCTTTAATCTCAGCACTCTGGAGGCAGAGGCAGGCGGATCTCTGTGAGTTCGAGGCCAGTCTGGTCTACAAAGCAAGTTCCAGCACAGCCAGGGTAACACAGAAACTCTCTCAAAAAAAACCAAACAGAGAGAGAGACAGAGAGACAGAGAGACAGAGAGAGAGAGAGAGAGAGAGAGAGAGAGAGAGAGAGAGAGAGAGAGAGAGACAGAGAGAGAGAGAGACAGAGAGAGACAGAGAGACAGAGAGACAGAGAGACAGAGACAGAGACAGAGAGAATGGGCTTATTTGGAGCATGAAATCCCTGTCCTGCTGCATGGACCTGGAGGAAGAACGATGTGGCCTCAGAACATTAGAACAGCATACACTTTAGTGGCCACAGAGGAAGCTGACTACTAGGGAGAGACTCTTCACCCAGGGCCACTGAGAAACAGTACCCAGATCTCCTGATGCTCAAGCTGCACAAGGCTAGAGATGGCAGCAGTCAGCCAGTACTGAGAGGCTCACCCAGTATAGGGGCGTCTCCAGATCCTGGAAGCTCTGGGGTCGAATCCCAGACATTCTTCTGTACTTGGCCATGTCTTCCCGCATCTGCAAGTGTGTTGGGTTTGCCACAAAGAAGGTGTGTGCTGCAGAAGCTGCCAGGTCCAGCTTCTTCAACTGAGGAGCCAAAGGGATGAGATGTCAGAGGCCAGAGGTGTAGGGGGAGGGGGTTCAGACCAATGTCCCTTCACCAACCTCCTCCAGAGCCTTATGGAAGCCCAGCCCAGCAGGACTGTCCCAACTAGAAAGCACCAAATCCCTCGGAAGCCAGAATGTTAGGATTCCCAGGACTCTGGTACAGAAAGAAAGGAGATTTGAAAGCTTGGAGTGGGTGGGCCATGGGCAGAGGACCTCAGGGTCTCAGTTTGGGAGACAATGAAGTGAATGGCTGAACTAGATGGGGCAGCGGGGAAGACCTTGAGTGACTAGAATCTGCAGGCCTCTAGGACCCTGAGCTGATGTGTGTGTGTAACTAGAGTCCCTCCCTCCTCCAGCCACGTAGGCTTTTAGCTACCAGTAGCTGTCTCCTGCCACAGACCCAGATTTCAGCCTCAGTGGCGCTTCCTCCTCCAAACCTAGCCTCCCTCATTCAGCCTTTCCGAAGCTCGGTCCTGTCCCAAGAGAAGACTCACACTCCAGCTCCCACTCCTGAACATAACATACACACACACTTCCTGTCCTGTGGCTGCTTTGGGCCCCTCACCGTCTGTTTTTCATACCTAGGAAGAGGCTGCGTTCACTCACCGAGACCCGCTAAAATAAAACTGCGGAGCCCTCCCTCCATGTTCGATCTACTCCCACTCCTCTTCATTCCCGCTTGACACCCCCCCACACACACTCTCTTTTGGCCCTCCCTCCGCGACCATCACAAGTCCTGGCCGCCCTTTTGATGGTACCCACTCAAATGTTATCCCGTTATCCGCCCCCCCAGGACTCCAGCCCTGAGTCCGGGCGCTGAGCATCCTGCCCTCTCCTGGTCAGCTCCAAGTAAGACAGCCACCCGGCTTGGGGTAGCACCCTCGGGGGCTCCGGCACCTGGTAGTAGGCCCTCTGCAGGTAGTTGTAAGGCTCCCGTCGGCGGAAGGCATCCCGCAGCGCGCTCCCCACGCGGAGTCTCGCCGTACCCCCCGGGCCCAGCCTGCGCGCGGCGCACTGGGTCAGGCACTCGGCGCGGCGGAGCGTGGCGTGCAGGAGCAGCGGCTCCCAGGCCCCGGGCCCCGAGGCAGGCTGCGGGTCGCCGAGGAGCTGGGCGGGGAGCGCGGCGTCGGACTCGGCGGCACAGCTCGCCCGGCAGTCCTGCCGCGCGCGGCCCAGCGCCGTCCGGCTCCGCAGCGCCTCTCGCAGCAGCGCCACCGCGGACGCCCAAGCCCCGGCGGAGTAGGCTCGCAGCCCGTCCGCGTAGAGCAAGTCGGGAGCCTGGGGAGGCGCCCCCGGCGACAACGAGGCCAGGCCCGGGGGCTCGGAAGGCTCGGGGGACCCCGGGGGAGGCAGCAGCAGCAACAGCAGCAACCTCAGGAGCCGGAGCATGGTGCCCAAAGCTGCAGGCCCACTTCCGAAGGGAAATGCGGGGCCGGGCGTGAGGGAGAGGGAGGGGGGCAGGGGGAGGAGAAGGAAGGAAAGATGGAGAGGAGAGGGAGAGGAAAAGATGAGTAAGTGAAGCCGAAGAAGCCTGCTGGGCTTAGGCCTGCCGCAGAGAAAACCAAAGTGGGACCGAGCGAGAATTCCGAGGACACATGGGGCTAGTGTGGGTAAGAAAGGGAAATGGAGAAAGGAGGGTGAAATGGGGGATCTGGGACGCCTGTGGTGTGGGGGTAATTTCTTTCCCGTCTATCCTGGGGTCCTGGAAAAGGACTGTGGACGCCCCTCACACGTTTGTCTACCTACGCTTCTGCCAACCCACCGGGTTGGAGAATGATCTTCGGAAAGCAGCGTGGCAGAGGGGGGACTCCGGGCTTGGGACTCCAATTCTGACCCCAAAACTTTTCACCCAGAAAGTGAGCACATGGGAGCATTTAGTGGAGTTGATGATTGAACAGTTACACTTATTTGAACAAATATCCTTCCCATTTCAAACTAACACACTCAGGTGTCCAGTGCCCAACCCCAGCATCATATGCCCCAAGCCTGTCTACATGTTGGACGGTTTCTTCCTGTACCTCTTTCCCTGCCCTTTCTCCATCTTGTACCCTCTGAGCCCCTCTCTTTCCCCCAAGCCACCGACCATACCCTTCGCCACCGCAGACGCTGGAGACCAGGGTTTCGATGGCAATACTTCAACCTTTAATACGTTTTGCTAGGGGTGAAGATGGGTGAGTAAGGGTGTCTGGTCACTTGGATGGGAGAGAGCTGGGGCTCTAGAATCCAGATCTAGTGCCCATCTCCCTGGAGGCAGCTGCCATAGGCTCAGGGCCAGAATGAGGAGTCCTCACCCACGCCCCCTCCTCTGAGTTAAGCAGGCCCATGTGGCCTCACAGGGTCAGCTGGGGGAAGATGGGGTTGCCTGGGCCCCAGGGTCTTCCCCAAGCCCTTGAACTCCCCTCGCTCCCTGTCAGAGAACAGCGTCTCCCTGCACTTAGCCCCAAAGGAAGTCCAACAGCTCCGCTATCAGGAGACCCAAGGGAGAGGCGTCGAGGTGAAAAACCCAGTGGCCTGGGCCTACGAGGAGAGGGTCCTGGTGAGGCAGTTGGAGAAGGCAGAGGTGTCTCGTCGATGAAGGTGGTGATCTCCTCCCGGAAGAAACCAGGACCTCGTGGGGGTCCCCCACCTGACCCCAGAACCCCACTTTCTAGGAACTGGCGAAGGCTGGCTAAGCCCCCGCCTTCAGCCTCTTCCTCATCCTCCTCACCCTCCAGCCTGTGTCTCTGTCCCAGGTATTCAGGAGGGCCCCCAAGGGCTCGGCTCTGGGCTGGGAGGATCCGGATGTCATCGGATGATGACCATTTGTGTAGGAAGGAGCCTGGTGCCCGAGGAGTAGAAAAGATGTTGGTCTCATCATGGGACAATCGGCGGGACAGGGGGACCTGGGAAGAGGAGCAGGTGAGACCTGGAGGTACGGCAGAGACAAAGGCAGAGGCAGCAGAAAGCCGAGTGGGGTCTCTGCAAACGGCGTCATACTCTTCCGTTTCTCCAAAGCATTTACTCTAGTAGGCCAACCTGGTTCTGAGAGACCTGAGGGGCCATTCTTTCCCTCATCTTTCCTTCATCTGCCCCCTAGGGTGCCCTGCAGTCCAGAGCCAGGGGGCCAGAAGAGAGGGGGCCCCTTCTCCCCATACCTGTAAATAGTGTACTCTCTCAAGAGGCGGAAATAGCATGTGCCGGCCAGGCAGCAGTTTGACCTGGGTGGGGTCCCGACCCCCTGACCCTGTGGCCCCATTAGCATCAAAACGAATTTTGCACACTCGGCCGTCTGTGTAGTCGTCACAGGCTCCATCTAGGAGAGAGAAGCAGCGGAGTGGTTACAGGCAGAGAACACCCACCCTCTCTCCACCCGCTTCCCAAGGTCCAGGAGGAACCTTTGGTTCCCATTAGTCTGTAAGTCCAGGAGGGAATGGCTAGCTTTGGTACAGTCCCTGAGTCCCTGGTCCTTCGCACAGACTTGTTCTTTTCCAAGAATTGTCCCAAGAGCAGGGCATCTCTTTCAGGAAGCTTAGCTTCCCTTTAATGTCAGGCCTTCTTTGCATTAGGACTGAGGACCCTTTCTCTGGAACTCTGCTTGGCATAGACCAAGCTGGGCAGTGCAGGCCCCTACACAGGAGCCGGGTTCTAGTGAAAAGCTCCCTCGGTGCGGAAGGAAGCCCGGCTGCGATGGCTGAGTGCACGGTCAGGCTGTGCAGAGCCCGGAGTTGGCTCCAGCTCAGTCCAGCAGGGGGCACCCCAGGGCAGCACATCTCCTCAAGGAGAAGGGCGGTGCAAAGGACAGACGCTAGCAGCCGTAGCTGTCCAGGAAACCCAAGTCCCATCCCTCCTCTGACCGTCGTCGCCGTCGTCCTCGGACATGATAGCCACGCACTGCTCCCACACGGTGCGCACATCCGCACGGTAGCGCTCGCAGGACCAGATGAAGGAGGGCAGGAGCAGAGTCTGTGCCATGGAGCACCACAGCACGGCCAGCACCATCCACGGCGGAGCCGAGTCCGACTTCAAGGAGAAGAAGCTCACCACCTGGCGTGGGAGAGGGAATGACTGAAACCCACTCCTGATGCCAGAGATTAGGAAGGGAGGCAGGGTGAGTGAGAAGGGATTGAATGAGGAAAGTCAGGAAATGCTGCAGACAGAACCCCGCAGTTGGGGAGAGACAGACAGAGAGACAGAGACAGAAAGAGAGGGAGGGGAGAGATTGACACTCAAGAAAGTTAGACTAGGCGGGTTGGGGATTTAGCTCAGTGGTAGAGTGCTTGCCTAGCAAGCAAGCACAAGGCCCTGGGTTCGGTCCTCAGCTCTGGAAAAAAAAAAAAAGTCAGGGGAAACCCGGGAATGGGGCCTGGCTAGCATGGTAGGGTGAGCCTAGGGTATCACTCAGGAGTACTCAGAGACTGTGCGCGCCAAAGGGCAGCTGAGTGTCGGGCTGAACTCAGAGACTGTGTGCGCCAAAGGGCAGCTGAGTGTCGGGCTGAACGTTGGAGGGGCAGGATAGAAGATGGAGCTGGAGAATAGAAACAGAAATGAAGAATGGCTGATGGAGCTGGGAGGTTGAGTAGCGGGAGCTCGAGGATGGATGATAGAGACAGGGAAACACGAATGTCAGGAGGAAAGGACAGTGAGAAGACACGATGGAGCTTCCGCGGGGCTGACAGAGTTGGAGGAGGGACCTGAATATGAGGAACAGGTTGAGGGACCTCAGTCTCACCAAGATGGGCACCCCTGTGAGGGAGTCATAGAGAAAGACGATAGCGCTGACCAAGTTGGTGACCTGCAAAGATGTCTTGGCAGATTCGGAGCCATCCAGCGAGGACCGCCGCTTCCCTCGAGTGTCCTCCACCACAATGGCTGGCACCTCAAAAGCTGGTCGTGTACCCAAGCCCCCCAGCCCACCCACTTTGGCTCCCACACTGCCCCCAGCTTTCCGGGCCTGCCGAGCCCTCCGGGGCCGGGCCCACAGTGTCTGATAGAAAGTGATAGCCACGCAGACCAACCCCATGACAATGCCCCCAAGAAGCAAGAGGCTGAAGCAGACGCCGAAGCCGAGACCGATCTTGGAGACTATGAACTGGCAGCCTCGGGCATAATAGCGCTCGCCGTTGTTGTGCCAGCCTATGGAGGGCAGCGTAGAAAGGATGAAGCTGACCATCCAGATGCCCATGACGGCATGCAGCGCCTGCTTCTTGGCGTTGCTGAGGCGGTAGTTGACAGGCCAGCGCACCATCCACATGCGATGGTAGGAGAGCGAGGCAACTGTGAAGCAGGTGGCCAGGGCCAGCGTGTAGTAGGTGGACACAAAGACCTTGCAGATGCTCTCGTTCCAGTCATAGTCAGAGGAAGCCTGGCGCCGGAGCTGCACCACGGCAAAGGTGGTAAGGGGCACAGCCGCCATGAGTATATGTGTACCCGCCAGGAAGCAGAGCAGTAACTCCAGGGGCTTGTGCTTCTGCTGCTTGGCTGAAATGCTAAGGATGATCCAGGCATTGGCCAGCAGGGCCAGGAGCCCACAGGCCAGCCAGGACAATGCGTTTGATCGGAGGGAGGCCTCTTCTGCCCCCAGCCCACCCCGAGCCATCCTATCCTCGGCCCCACCCCCACCCCCTTGAACTCCTGGGGGCGGGGGCTAGGTCTCACCCTGGAGCCCCGCTCACACACACCCCCATGATGCCCACAATCCTTGCCCTGCAGTCAGGCAAGCTGACCCCAAGTCTTCCTTACTGTTCAGCATTACAGGACCCGACTCAGCTAAGGCCCCGTGGGCAGGGCAGGGGAGAAGGCAGAGAATCAGTAGAGGTGGTGGTCCTCAGCCTCCATATTGGGTGGGGCTTTTCCTTAGTTATCCCTGTAACTGATGGGGGAGGCAAGCTTGCTGCTTTGCCATCTATGAAGCTGGCTAGCGACCTCTGATTCCCATGCTGGGACTTCCAGGCCTCTGTCTCCAGTGAGTCTTGACCAGTCAGTGCAGAGGGGTGGAGCTCAGTCACCTAGATAAGCTGTGAGGGAAGATGAGATGGAGGGGGCAAAAATTAGGACTATGCTGTACTCTAGCTCACGTGTACCCTTTCTCTAGGAACTATAGAAATGACTGATTGTTGAGAGTCACTGGGGTCATTCAGAGCATTCTCCTGCCTTAAATCAGATGCCTACTTACCCACATGAACAAGACCTCCTCTACTTGCAGACTACGGGAAAAGTCTCCATCTTTTTTAGCCCTTTCTCCCTGCTTTGGGATTACAAAGTTCCTTCTTGCAATAGCCTGTGCTCAGAACTGCCCACCCCTGTCTCTGCATCCCCAGATCTTTCTTCAGTTCCTAATGGGAGACACGTGATGTGTTCCTTCCTGGGGGCTCACATTAAATAAAGCAGGAGCCCTTCCTTTACATGCCATTTTCCTAGACCTTGCGGTCTTTGTCTCGGCCCGGCTTATCTAAGCCTGGATTTTCACCCGTTCAGCTACCCAAGGAAGATGGAAGGAAGGAGGCTGGGACTGAAGTGGGGGGTAGCTAGGGAACCTGAGGGCGGGGAAGCCACTGACATCAGAAGCATCCAGAAATGGAAAGAGGGGGAACCAGGGAGAAGGAGGAGAGTTTGAACAGAAGAGAAAGAGGGGAAAGTGGTAGTATCTGAAAATAGAAGGGAAGGTTCAGAAACCCTTGGGAGGAGATGGATACTGGAGGGAGGGAGTGAGCAGGAGGATTATGGATGTAAGGAGCAGGGGACAGAGGGACTGAGAAGAAAAGCTGGACCTTCCTCACTAGGAGACCTTGGGTCTCCTCCTCTGGCCCAGAGCCTCAGTTTCCCCCTGATGGGGAGGAGGAGGAGGGTCCTGATCTTAGCGACACAGTTCATCGAGACCTGGGGAAGACACTAGGAAACCAAGTCAGCCACTTAGCGGAGTAGAGCAGAGGCTGTAAGGACCGGCATAATGGCTTCGGGCCACCGTCTGTTTCCTGAGGAAGAACCTCAGGCCCTAGCTCTCCCCAAGAGGTCCCAGTCCAGCCCCCACCTTTGTCTCCCCCCCTAGTCCAGTACATCCTAGTTGCCATGGCAATGGACAGCCCGGGGGAGGTGTAGGGAATTGGTCCGAATGCCCCCCACTGCCCTCCCCTACAGCCTTTGGACCCCTTCCCACCCACCCTCACCCCCACCTCCACCCCCAGACCCAGTTGGTGGTTCCGAAAGAAAGAGAGAGGGAGAGTCAGAAAGGGAGGGAAGAAGAAAGACGTGAAGGACAGAGAGAAGGAGATGAAGGACAGAGAGAGAGAAGGGAAGGGAGGAGGACTATTGGGGGCTTCCTGGCCGACAGGGGTCCCTCGCCCTTCGCCTTGATCGGATAAGGTCAGGTGGCTCCTCCCTCCTGTCACCTAGGGTGCTCTCCAGGGCAGAAACAGCAGGTGGCTGGGGAGGAGGGGGCGGGGAAGAGGGGAGCGGAGGCAGCTGGCTGGGCGGGGTGGGGGGAGCCGAGACACGCGGGGGCCCGGGCAGGGGTCCTCTTACCTCCGGCCGCGCTCCGCTCTGCCGGGGAGACGCACTCCCGGCGAGGCTCGCCCGGGCTCCCGCCGCCTGCCGGCTCCAGCTCGCCAGCCCTCCTCCTTCGTTCGCTCCCTCCCTCCAGGCCTCCTCCCCCTCCGCAGCCGGGCCTCCCAAGCTCAGCCCGCGGCGGGCGCGCTGGTCTGCGGCCCCTCGAGGCTCCTGCCTCCCGGGGGTCATCCGCCTGCGAGCCCGGGGTTAGGGAGCCGCTGGCCAGTCTTGGGGTCGGGGGTGGCGAGGGTGGGGCGGGGAAACTGGACCGCGGGGACTTAGCGGAGGAGGGGCAAGGAAGGAGCGGAGAAGGAGGGGGCGAGGAGGACGGCGGGGAGCGGGCTTCATTGGTGAAGCGGTTGGTGTCCTGCCCCCACCCCGTCCCGTTTTTTCAACACGAATGAGCCCGAAGAGGCAGCTGATGTTGTTAGGGGCTGAGGAGCTAGCTGTCAGGGGAGGAGGAAGCGTGTCACCGTGTGTCACTGTGTGCATCCTTGTGAGGGCTCTTCTTGGGTAGAGCTCAGAGGGGCACCACCTGAAGGCCTGCTGGAAGCTAAGGGTGCTTCTGATGCAGGCTAAGACCGCTTGTGAAGTTGGAGGTGGTTGCACGGATCAAAAAGGATGTGGGCTCTTGGCACACCTGTGTACACCTCTTTCTCCTCCCAGAACACAAGCGCACACTTATGGTGGGGACACACACAATTGCCACACACATTACAGTTTCTCATAGTCCCTTTCCTCTCCCATACACAGACGGCAGGAAAGCACACATAACCCCATAATCTCTAGGCTAACTGCAGAGTCACACACACAGTGCTTTTGGGATGAGAAGGTGGGAAATCAACCTCTAGGGAGTTTTTTCTTCTCTGGGCGATTTCATCTTCTTCCTGGGCCAGGCCTGGCAGCTAAAGCCCCAAAGACTCCTGGGTCCCCAGAGAAGTACATGCCCCCCCTCCTCTCTCTCTCTCTCTCTCTCTCTCTCTCTCTCTCTCTCTCTCTCTCTCTCTCTCTCTCTCTCTCTCACACACACACACACACACACACACACACACACACACACACACAAAGTGCATTTTAATTATAGTCTTTATTTTTCTGTCAGCTGAGGAAGCAGGAGTCAGGAGTGGGTACAAATAAAAAGTAATCAGTGAGGAGCCTGGCAGCAATTGAGGGGTGGGGCAGGGGGGTCTTTCTGGAAGAGGCCACCAGGAAAGAAAAGAAAGGAACGGGGTTGGGAGGAAAAAGGCAGGTGCTGAGGCAGGAGAATGAAAGAGGCCTAGGAAGCTGAGACTCTGAGAGAAACAGATCAAGACTGGCAGGAGAATACTATAACCCTGGTCTCCCTGGATGCGTGGCAAGGGCTGAGGACCTCATCAAAGGACAAAGGACCCCCCTGCCCCAACATAGCTCACTCTCCGGGCTCTGCATGCAGTGAGTGGCAGGTCTCTGCACGGTGGGTTCTCTTGGCCTTGCTCTAAGTGAACTGGGGTTTTGTCCTCCAGTAAAGGAGTCCACAAACAGCAGTGGTCAGGGAGCGATCTGGACACAGGCCATCCTGTGGGTGCTGTGCTCCTGTGCTTCCAAGGTACATGCCTGTGACTAGCTCCAGAGATCTCCCTGCCATTCACCCCTGTGTTACAGAAAGTGGCTCTAGCAATCAGGAGCCCTGGGTTGGTCCTGACACCCACACTAGCTACCTGTGTGACCTGGGGTAGTCGTTCAACCTTAGTTCCATTTTATCGGAGATGCTCGGTCATCTCTGCCAGCTTGGTCATCACTGCCAGCTTGTAGGGTTTCAGTGTGTGTGTGTGTGTGTGTGTGTGTGTGTGTGTGTGTGTGTGTGTGTGTACATGAGGGCCACGGCACATGAGTGGAGGACAACTTTTGAGAGTCAGCTCTCTCCTTCCATCCTCAGGGATCGAACTCAGGTCCTCAGGTTTGGCAGCAAGAGCTTTTACTGCTGAACCATTTTACTTTGCCTACATGTAAGGTTTTTGAAAGGCTTAAATACCAAGGACATTAAACGGGCTGATACATTAACTACGGATAAGTGTGTGGCTATGTGCAGGGGCATGCGGCCTGCGTGTGTGTTGGTACACTGGCCAGAATGTGAGCCCAGTCTTGCCAACACCAAGTGAGGAGCAGGCAGCACGGGAAGCTGAGGCTGATGTCAGCAGCTTGGGGTCCACATCTGTCCCCAAAAGGCTGTGCGACCATCTACGCCTGGCTGATTCTGTGCACTGCCCTTCGATCCAAACAGACAGCTGGAAAGAGGCTCTGAACAAGAGTCAGAGAAGGGCTGAGGTCTTGGTGAAAAGGAAGCTGGGAAAAATAAACAGTGTGTTTAATTGTCTGAAAAGCAGAGAGCAAGCTTACTTTGAGCTTGGGAATAGAGGGAGAGAAACAGTGGCCAGTTATGGAAGAGGAGGCCGGACGGAGGCTGGAGGCACTGCGTCTGCTACATTCATCTGGTCCACAGGCCTCAGCAGACAGGGCAAGGCACAGTTGGTAGGCTGCCGGTGGGGCCTAGGCCTCAAAGGAGATTCTGAGTCTTCTGCATCCGGCTGGAAGAAAGAAGGATAAGGGGCGCAAACCCACCCTCCCAGCCTCTCGGGATGCTACGGCTTCCATGGCTCCCAGAGCCCACTTTTCTCTGGCAGCACAGGGGTACCAATGGACATCGCTGCAGCATCTGTCCAGACACACCACAGGCCCACTCCACCTCTGCCAGCCCTTTCCCCAGGTCTGTTTTCCACTCTCTCTCCATCACCCCATCTCCTTGCTCCTTCCCTTCCTTTTCAACTCCTTCACCTTACCTCCCTCACCGGTTTCCTTCCTTCCCTTTCTCCCTCTCTCTCCTCCCTCCTCTCTCCCCCCCTCCTCTTTCCCCCTCCTCTCCCCCTCCTCCCTCCCTCCCTCCTCTCAGCCCAGATCCTTACTGGGGACACTGGCAGGTCTTCTTCTCACTCAGGAGCCTCTTGATCTGAGACATCCGTTCTGCCTGGCGCTGCCCAGGGACAAGGAGAGGAGTTGTGAGGGTCCCAGTCCTCCAGGAGGGAGGTGCCCCTTGGAGGGGGGAGAGGGGGGAGCTGGCAGAGAAGAAGCATTCACTGTGGCTTAAGCCACCTGTCCTCTCGGCCCTGCAGACAGGATCAGAGGCAGGGCCAGGTCTGCAGTGAGGAACTTCAGGGGCCAGGCGGGGAGAGCTAAGTCCCAGGGTGCTCAGCCTCATGTACAAGATACTGTGCTTGAGGGCCCAGTGGGGGGTGATGGGAGCCCACTCACCTGCTGGTGCCTGCACTTGACACAGCAGAGGATGCAGAGCCCAATGAAGATCAGAAAGCTGAAGATGCCCCCCAGCACGAGAGCCAGGAACATTGGCTGGTCCTGCTTCAACCCTCTGGCTGAAACTGAGAGAGAGAGAGAAAAGCGCGGGGTGGGGGGTGGGGGTGTATTTGGCTGGAGATGTAGCTCTGGTAGAGGGAGCCCTGGGTTCCACCCCAAGCACGGTCAAGAAAGAGAGATACTCAATGCCTCCATCTAGGGACAGTCTTTCCTGTGGTCCCAGATCAGAGAGAAGAGCTGAGGACACAGGATTCTCAAAGGCCACCAGGCCTTCCTTGGGAGTACAGAACAGGAAAGGAAGTTTTTTTTTTCTTACACAGTTCTCTAGAGAGCTAGAAGTCGGGGCCTGAAGTCAGGCTCTGTGTGTTTGTTTAGGTTCAGAGGGAAGCCATGGAGGAGGGTAGCTCTTAGCCAGAGGAAGGCCTCATTCCTAGACTCTATGGAAGTGGGAACCTGGAACTCAGGACCTATGTCTTCAGGCCACTGTACATAACCCTCCATGTCAGCGGAGCTAGGGAGCTGGGACTCTGGGTCATCTTGGCTAATCCCTAGGAAGATTTCACAGTTGAAGAGGCCAAGGCTTAGTGTGAGGCCTTAGGAATTGACTCCTTACCCTGGATATTGGAGGTTATCTTGACCTCATCCCCTTCAGTCAGTTGACACATCCACAGCCCTGCCTCAGGGTCCAGCATTTCAACCACCTTCTCCTGCCTGGAGACCTTGTCCTGGTTCTCCAGCTTCAGGGTCAGCCTCATCTTGGGGGAGGCAGGTCCCCTCACCTCACAGGTCACAGCGTTGTCTTTCTGAGCCACTGGAGAGGAAGGAGAAGCAGAGACCTGGAGCCTCTTGCTCGGGGGTTCCGAGCACTTTCAAGCTGTAAGGAAGGTGATTCAGTAGAATGGGGGAAACGATCCTATGTGTGAGTGGTCGTTTAGCTTCTTGGATGCTATTTTCATGTCATTGTCAGGGAGAAACAGCCTGGGAGTGAGCTATCCTTGGATTTGAACCCGAAGTCGTGTTGAACCAGATTTCCTTCTTGCTGAATGTGATCGGTACTCTGCCAGGCCTGGAGTCTGCAGAGGCACACACAGCATGTCCCTGGACAAACTGCTTAACCACCGGCACCACCGACGATAACGGAACGTATGAGTGCCTGAAGTGTTTGATTGGGGCCTAGCATAATGCTGTAAGTATCAGGGTTAGTCATTGCTATTTGTGGAGCTGGTGAAGTGACGAGTTAAGGATACAAATAACTCATTGATGTTACAACCATTACTATGTGCAAAGACTTTGTTCCATATTAAAATGATGGTGGGGTGGGAGAGATGGCTCAGAACTTAGAAGTCCTTCTGCTCTTCCAAAGGACCCACATGGCAGCTCACCACCATAACTATAGCTCCAGGGGATCTGATGCTCTTCTGACCTCCTCTGTCATGACATGTATGACATACATTTTCTCTCTCTCTCTCTCTCTCTCTCTCACACACACACACACACACACACACACACACACATACACACACGCATGCACTCACTCACACTTGCATACACACACACACACACACACACACACACACACACACACACACACACGAAAATAAATCTTAAGGGGCTGGAGAGATGGCGCAGTGGTTAAGATACTGGTTGCTCTTCCAGAGCATCTGGGTTCAGTTCCCAGCACCCACATGGCAGTTCACACCTGTCTGTAACTCCAGTTCCAAGGCTTCTGACACCCTCACACAGATATAAAATAAAAAATAAATAAATAAAGGCGATGGTGATGCATGCCTTTAATGAGGCAGATCTCTGAGTTCAAGGCCAACCTAGTCTACAGAGTGAGTTCCAGGAGAGCCAGGGCTACCCAGAGAAAACCTATCTCAAACAAAACAAAAACAAAAACAAGAAACAAACAAAGAAAAGGTGAACATGCAGGTCTGAGGTATCCAAGGGGCTCAGCCAGGGCCACAGGCTGTCAGGCAGAGAAAGAACTAGATCCTGGTTGTTAGTCTAAGCCTTGGTAGAGCCAATGTCGGGCCAGATGTTGGAGAAGGACTGTGGATTTCAGCCTCAATTCAAAGCCAGCCCAGGACTGGGTGCCGCTCAGTAATAGTTTGTGCATAGCATGTATGAGGCCCTGGTTTCTGTCCCCAGCACCAAAAGAAAAAAGGAAGAGAGAGAGAGAGAGAGAGAGAGAGAGAGAGAGAGAGAGAGAGAGAGAGAGAGAGAGAATCAAAGAATCAAGCTGGCTCAAAACCTGGAGACCCCTTCATCATTTAGCCAAACAAGCAGGGTCAAAGCATCCTCCTTTGGGGACCTGCCCAGGCATGGAGAGCCCCAGACGGACCCTCCCTCTTCATTTTACCCAGCATGCCCTTTTTCAGCCCACCACTCACATTTCATTACCACCAGGTTCACTTCCTGATGCAGTGTGCCTTTGGCCAGAGTTAGAGTCAGGTTTCCGGAACCAGCGCTCTCTAGCGAGACCTGGGGTATCTTGAGGCGGAGTGGGAGTGATTCCTCCATCTGGGGCTTGAGGTTGTCCCTGGTCTTTTGCATGGACACCTTCTTATTCTCCAGGGAGAAGTTGATCCAGGGCTGTGGGGAGGGGGCCTTCTCTGCCCTCCACCTCAGCTCTCCCCGCAGATTTTCTTCTCCCAAGTTAAGTGGGAAGGAAAACTCCACAAGCCCCCCTTCATTCTTATAGACTGTGGTAGATGTCTTCTGGAAACCTGGAGGTGAGAAGGGAACAGAAATAACCCTGAGTGAGGAGGGAGAGGGGGATGAGGGAGTATGTGGGGGGGGGGGGCAAACTTATGGCACAGGGGATCAGGTCAGTCTACCCACCAAGGTTGTTATTTCTCTCTCCTTGGAACCCCTGGAGCCCAGGAGTGACTTGACCTCTGCTTACCATCCTTCACAAAATAAGAGCCAGCTTGTAAATAAGGCTTGCTGTATACCAGGCACTAGCCTGGATGCTGTACATTGTAGTTCTTTTGTTTTGAGACAGGGCTTCTCTGTGTAGCTCTGGCTGTCCTGGAACTCGCTATGTAGACCGGGCTGGCCTTGAATTCACAGAGATCCACCTGCCTGTGCCTCCTGAGTGCTGAGATCAAAGGTGTGTGCCACTGTGGTGATATTTCATTTGTGCTCTAACAAATAAAGTTTGCCTGAAGATTAGATCAAGAGTTCAAGGTTGCCCTGGGCTACATGAGATTGATCCAGTCTAAAAGAGAAACAGAGCCAGGTGGTGGAGGCTCAGCCTTCCTTCTTGTATACTCCCTAGGTTGCTCCTGAAGGGGGAAGGGACCTCGGGACAAACCTCAGCTAGAGAGGGGTCTGGATACATCCCTGTCACCCACTCCAGCAGCTCCCAAAACCAGCTGAAGAGAAGAGGAAGGCTGGGAGTTCCTGAGCCAGAAGGAGGCTGCAAGGAGGGAGCCTCTTACCCAACACTGAGATGTTTATATCAAAGTTATTCTTTTGCTGGCTCTGGGTTACGGTGCAAGTCCAGATGCCACTGTCCTGAATCCTTAGGTTGGGCATGGAGAGGGTTTTGGAGCCCTTGACAATTCTATTCCCAGGGCCTCTGCACTCTATTGAGGGGTGAGTGACCTTGGAGCTGCTATCCAAGGTAAGGGTCAGACTCTGCCCCTGCAGCAGGCGGGTGTCCGGACTGGCGGTCACTGTGGAAGAAGCAGATGACCCGTATCACAACACACCATCCCCAAGGACAAAGAAGAAAGAAAAAACGAGAGTGTCTTTCCACTGTCCCCTCTCCCAACAGAGCCTCCCCTCCTAACTCCCAGCTGCCCATTCCCAGCACAGGGCGGGGTTCCCCTCTTTCTCCTCTCCCTTCCTCCTGTCTCCTTCCTCCCTCCAGTTCCTTCCCCCTGCTTTCCTTCTCTCTCAGTCTTTGTCCCTCCCCCATTAGCCAAAAGGAACAGTCCGACCCCCTGTGGTCTGTGAAATGTCATCAGCTCAGAAGTGGAAGGGAGTAAGGCGGCATCTGTGTTCCCGGGCTACCCCACTCACCTCTGAACACCCACAGCTCCACCTCTATCTTCTTGTTATCCACCTCACAGATATAAGTCTTTGAGTCTTCCATCTTAAGTTTATTGATGACGAGAGGAAATGATCCTCTGTCCCATGCAGCTTTTTTTGAATCAAAACGGTCAGACCCATCAAATGAACCTGTGAATAGAAGCCACACAAAGGAAGTTGAAATGCTCTGGTGTCCTAGCATCCCTGCCCAGAATAGTGCCCACAGCTATTGCAGAGTCTTTACTTCACCCCTCAAGGAACCCCAGACTGACGAGAAGGCCTATCGTATCTATTTATATGTGGGAACAATATCCTACCAGCTTAAAAAATATTATAAAACAATATGCTTATTTGGAGAGCACCCACTCACAGGCAGAACACTTTACATGAACCATCCCCAGTTCTCTTCACTCTGATTCCAGGAACTACACACTGTTTCGCCTACAGTGCAGATATGGACCCTGTCACTCAGAGTTGGAACAATTGCTCAAATTCAAACATCTTAATAATTTGTCAGAGCAGCCAGAATTATTAACGTATATTCAGAACTAAATACCTCCCCCAAAGATATTTTTTGGTTTCGTCCTCTTCGAGGCCTACTTGTCTGTCACAGACACCTTTGTGAGCATCCTGGTCATTCCGTTTCTTGTCTTTCTTCTTGGATTTCTCTTGCTGCTGCTGCTGCGGGACTGACTTCCAAAGCAATGATTAGCAAGTGTCATCCCCTGCCTAGGACCAAAGCTAGCAGCTTCCACTGGACACTGCCTTCTTCACACCTCTGTCCACAGGCCACCAGCTGGAAACCTCCCCACCAGACGTCCTTGACGGCTTGCCTTGCACTACTTCCTTACGCCATCTGCCCTTCCTGGAACGTCCTTCCCCCACATCCATTTTTCTGTATTTAAACTTCTTTTTTCTGTGGCTGGGGAGATGGCTAGAGTATGAGAGCACTTGCATCACGAGGACCTGAGCTGGAAACTCCATCACCCACGTGAAAAGCTGGACCAGTGTCACCACAGCAACCCCATTGCTGTGCAGGGCAGAGACAGGAAGATCTCGGGGGCCTGCTGACCACCAGATTAACTCCAGGTTAGTGAGAAACCTCGTCTCAAAGAAATAAGGGGCAGAGTGATAGAGCAGGACATCTGATGCCCCCCTTCGGCTACCTAAATGCTCACACACACATATAGCACACACACACATCAAAAAAAAAATTATTTTTGCCATGTTAGAAACTGAACACAGAGGCAAATGCTCTACCCCTGAGCCACACTCCTGGCCTGCCTATATTTTTCTTTTTTTTATTTATTTATTTATTTATTTATTTATTTATTTATTTATTTATTTATTTATTTTTTATTTTTTTTGGTTTTTCGAGACAGGGTTTCTCTGTGTAGCTTTGCGCCTTTCCTGGAACTCACTTGGTAGCCCAGGCTGGCCTCGAACTCACAGAGATCCGCCTGGCTCTGCCTCCCGAGTGCTGGGATTAAAGGCGTGCGCCACCACCGCCCGGCTATTTTTCTTTTTAAAATAATTTTATTTATTATTGGATGGCTCAGTGGATAAGAGCACTTTCTGCTCTTACAGAGGACCTGGGTTTGCTTCCCAACACTCATGTAGAGGCTCACAACCATCTGTAACACCAGGAGGATCTGACACCCTCTTTTGGTTTCCATAGGCATCAGGCACATGCATGGTGCACATACATACATGCTGTCAAAACACTCATACACGTACAAGAAAAAAAAAATCTTCAAAATTTTTATTTATGCTGGACAGTGGTGGTGCATTCCTTTAACCCCAACATCGGGAGGCAGAGGCAGACAGATCATGTGATGCAAAGGCTTGTACCACCCTGCTTGTGGTTTATCCCTTTAAAAACCCCTCACCCTGAGAGAGCTCAGGGGCATCCTCCTCCACCCGCTGCGGCACGGACTAAGCCTGGACTTGCTAGTTATTAATAAACTCCTGTGTGTTTTGCATCAGATATTGGCTCTGTGGAGGTCGTGTGTGTGTGTGTGTGTGTGTGTGTGTGTGTGTGTGTGTGTGTGTGTGTGTGTCACGACGCCAGCACAACAGTGAGATGGCTCAACAGGTAAAAGTACTTGCCGTGAGAGCCTTACTACCTGAGTTCAATCCCCGAAACCCACAGGAAGAGAAGAGAACAGGCTCCCAAAAGCTGTCCTCTGACCTCAACACATGCGCAGTTACTCCCAGAACATCCATATACACAAATACACACACTGATGATGATGATGATAAAAACAACAATAAATTTTTTAAAAATAATGCTTTTTAAATGCAAACCAAAATTTAGGTACAGAAATCATAATTAGCTGGGTGTGATAGTGCACTCATGGAATCCCAGCATCTGGAAGGCTGTGCAGGAGCATCACAAGTTCAAAGCTAGCCTAAGATGCATTGGAAGTTAGAGGCTTAGTAGGCTGTATGGTAAGATCTTACCTTGAAATAAAAATCATAATCATAATATTATTAAATATCATGCTATGTCAGGTAAAACAGTAATAGCATCTGGAATGGTGGCTCATGCCTGTATTTCCGGCATTTGAGAGCCTGAGGCAGGTGAATTACTGTAGGTTCAAAGGCAGCTTAGGCTACCAAATAAGACCTTGTCTCAAAAAACAAAATGATAATGGTTATTGTCTTAGTTATATTGCTGTGAGGAGATACCGTGACCACAACAATTCTTATAAAACAAAGCGTTTAATTAGGGCTTTGCTTACAGTTTCAGAGACTTAGTCCATTATCACCATGGCAGGGAGCATGGTGTCGAGCACAGCAGCACACAGTGAGGCATGGTGCTGGAGAAGTAGCTGAGAGTTCTACATCCTGATCCACGGACAGCAAGGAAAGAAAGAGATTGGGACTGGCTAGCATGGACTTTTGAAAACTCAAAGCCCACTCCCAGCGACACACTTCCTCCAACAAGGCCATACCTCCTGACTCTTCTAATCCTTTCAAACAGTTCCACTCCCTGGTGACAAAGCCTATGGAGCCATTCTTATCCAAACCACCATGGCTGTGTGTTAGAGGATGTTATTTGGTGGACTACTAGAGTTGGCACTAAAATGATACTTTTTTTTTTTTTTGAGCTGAGGATCGAACCCAGGGCCTTGCACTTGCTAGGCAAGCGCTCTTCCACTGAGCTAAATTCCCAACCCCTAAAATGATACTTATACATAATATTTCATGAAATGGGAAATGTTCATAGCATACATCTGTTTGTTTGTTTGTTTGTTTGTTTGTTTGAGCCAGGGTTTCTCTGGGTAGCCCTGGCTATCCTGGAACTCAGCCTGTAGACCAGGGTGGCCTTGAACTTGGAGATCTGCCTGCCTCTGCCTCTGCCTCCCAAGTGCTGGAGTTAAAGGCTTGCACCACCACTGCCCGGCCATAACGTACATCTTAAAAGCTGCTTTAAAATAATCTCTGTTTTCTCGGGTTAGTCATTTAAACCACAAAAATCCCTCAGACTTCACACTTCCACTTCTCTGTCCGTCATTCTAATTCTAGCAACAGTTTGGTACAGGGTCTTCCACGCCTTTTTCTTTGCTCATGCAAACATGTTCACATACAATCAATGTTCCAATTAAAATGGGGCTGGAGAGATGGCGAACAGTTAAGAGCACATACTATTCTTGCAGAGGATTTGAATTTGGTTCCCAGAACTCATGTCAAGAGGCTTACAACAGTCTGTGACCTCAGCTCCAGGTTATCTGATGCCCTCTTCTGGCATCCTCCCGCAACTGCACTGAGACACACTCATACACGGTTAAAAACAATCTTTCCAATGGGATTATATGACATGTTTATTGATCGGCTTTCACTTTGTAGAATACCCTTGACATGGTCCTTTATAGGTGGAACTCTTTCCTTCTTTTTTTTTTTTTTTTTTTTTTTTTTTCGTTTTTCGAGACAGGGTTTCTCTGTGCAGCTTTGCGCCTTTCCTGGGACTCGCTTGGTAGCCCAGGCTGGCCTCGAACTCACAGAGATCCACCTGGCTCTGCCTCCCGAGTGCTGGGATTAAAGGCGTGCGCCACCACCGCCCGGCGCTCTTTCCTTCTTTTTGTTTTGAGTTTCTGGAAGCCAATCTTATTCTAGTTTGAGATGTAGATTCACATGCAATTGTAAGAAATAAGAGCGTGAAATCCTGTGTACTCTTTCCCAGCTTATTTCAATAGTTACATCTTACAAAACTGTGGTACTCCAGGCAGAGGCAGCGTGCACCTGCCTTTAATCCCAGCACTCAAGAGGCAGAGACAGGCAGAGTTCAAGGCCATCCTGGTCTACAGAATAAGTTGCAGGACAGCCAGGGCTACACAGTGAAACCCTGTCTTGAAGAAAAAGAAAAAAAAAAGAATGAACAAAAGAAAGAAAGTTAAAACACCCTCTTTTTCTTTGTGGACCTCCATCCTTTCTGTTATTAATTTCTATAATCTGGAATTTCAAGAATGTTATCTACTGTCATTTTCTCCCTTTTTGGAAGTACTATAGATTGAACCTAGGGCTTCACTCATACTCCACCACTGAGCTACAGCCCCGCCCTCAATGCTCTCTGTTAATAAATGTTTGGAAGCTGGAAATAAAACTCAGTGGTAGAGCACTTGACCTGCATGCGGGAGACTCTAGATTCAAACCTTCAGCACAGCCCAAAATAAGCGAATACATAAATGGAAATAATGGCCAGATGTGGTGGCACACATCTTTATTCCCAGCACTCAGGAGGCAGGTGCAGGGAGGATTTCTATGAGTTCAAGGCCAGGCTGATTTACATGGTGAATTCCAGGCCAGCTGGGCTACAAAGTTAGACTTTGTCTTACAACAGATAACAATAACAACAACAATAGCAACAACAATAATAATAATAATGTATGTGGACTATTATGTGTGTAGACCATTCTAATATGTACAGACTGTTATAATGTGTACAGACTGTTACAATGTGTGTACACTGTTACAATATGTGTAGGCTGTTATAATGTGTGCAGATTATTACAATGTGTGTAGATTGTTACATGTGCAGACTGTTACAATGCATGTAGACTATTATAATGTGTGCAGATCATTTATACCTAATGTAATTGTTGATATATTAGGACTTGTGCCTGTTACTTTGTTTTAGTTTTTTTTATTTTTCTGTTTTGTTTTGAGATAGGGCCTAATGTAGCCCAGTCTAGCCTCAAACTCCTTCTGTAGCTAAGAATGACCTTGGACTTCTGATCTTTCTTCCATATCCCAAGTCCTGGTGTTATAAGCCTCTCAGGCCCAGACTACAGTGTGCTAGGGATCTAGCCCTGGGTTTCCTTTGTGCTAGGGGTCTAGCCCAGGGTTTCCTTTATACCAGGCACTCTACCAACCAAGCTACATCCTTCAGCCCCGTGTTTCAGTATTCCTTTTCTTGCCTTCCTAGAGTTTGATTAAACATTTTTTTAAAAAATCATTGCATTTGCGTGTGTGTGTGTGTGTGTGTGTGTGTGTGTGTGTAAGGAGGGAAGGAAGAAGAAGGAAGGAAGGAAGGAAGGAAGGAAGGAAGGAAGGAAGGAAGGAAGGAAGGAAGGAAGGAAGGCTGGACATTTAGACATTTGAGTACTATGTTATAAGAGTTTGTTGTTGTTGGTTTCTTTAAGATTTTGTATTGTTCTGGGTGTGCTGGCACAACCCTTTAATCCCAGCACTCGAGAGGCAGAGGCAGGCTCAGCTCTGTGAGTTCAAGGTCAACCTGGTCTTCATAGCAAGTTCCAGGACAGCCAGGGCTACATAGAGAGACCCTGTCTCAAAAAACCCAAAAAACCCAAACCAAACCAAACAAACAAAAAGATTTTTGGGTTGTTTTAAACCTTCTCTTTTAACTGACTCCTTTTGGCCAATATTTGTTCAGGGGATGCCCTCCTTATCACTGCAGATGGAAGTAGAAATCCAAATTCCTTCCATCATTGTTGACCCCGGAGGGCCGTGCCCCTCATTACTACTGGGCTGAGCGGAAATGCCAGCCCGCACTCTGACCTCACCCATATTGTAGTGTGGTGGTCTCATTGCTGCTGGCTGATGATGGAAGTTCTAACTCTCCACCAGCAGCCCCTGACACCACCCTGCAGGAAGTGGTGTTCTTGATTGTCGGGTGGGCCGAGTGCCCAGGCTGTTCTGACACTTTCCACCAGGACTGCGGGAGCCTGTGGCAGGCTGGCATGGATCAACAGTGACTCTCAACTTCACCCTCTAGGGCACTGTCCTGGTGGAGGTGTTTGGACACTCCAGTCCAGTCTCAAGAGGAGGAAGTGTGGCTCCTTGCTCAGTGTTGGCATACATTAGGGAACAGGCAGAGTGTTTCCTCTGATGTTTGGCTGAAGTGCAACAATTATCATAGAGGCTTTTGCCTTTCTAGATTGTTCCTTCCCTAGTCTTTAGTGAGCGAAGGCTGCCTTCCACTGAGGTCCATTTGTTCCTGTGCCTGTTCCATATGTCTAGATGGCCTTGGGCTCCTGGTTTACAAAGAGGTAAGGCCTGTGATGTTGGGAACCAGATTCTTTTTTTTTTTTTTTTTTTTTTTTTTTTGGTTTTTCGAGACAGGGTTTCTCTGTGTAGCTTTGCGCCTTTCCTGGGACTCACTTGGTAGCCCAGGCTGGCCTCGAACTCACAGAGATCCGCCTGACTCTGCCTCCCGAGTGCTGGGATTAAAGGCGTGCGCCACCACCGCCCGGCTGGGAACCAGATTCTTACTACAAAGTGGCGAAGGACTTGGCTAAAGTGTGCAAATTTTCTACTGTTTTGTGTAGGTAGACTTTGCAAATAATGAAACTGAGTATTTAGCTGAAGAGATTTCTAAGCAAAAAGGACCCAGTCTTACAGATTTGGAAAATTATCAGTCCACTTGTATTCTAAACATGAGGACGTGTGTTCCAGTCACCAAGAGTTCATGGATTGTATGGGCGGAAACACTGCTGGTTTGGATTCCGGGGTCATAAAATGATGGCAGGGATGCAGTGAGGGAAGGCTGTGGACTCCTGGATTGGAAGGGCAGACAGTAGAGCAACTTAGGGATAAATGTGAGCTATTTTCAAGAGGAGGGAAAATCACCCCACCGGCGATTCGGGGATTATCAGAACCATTATCACAGTTTCAACAGGCTGTCTGGCCTCTGCCATGGGGACAGGACTCCACCCAGCAGAGTCCTGGGCACAAATCTAGCCTGGAAGCAGATTATGCTGACCTTTAAGATCTAATGAGCCCATGAGTGATGGTGCAGGCCTCTCCCAGCACATAACTATCTGGAGGCAGAGGCAGGTGGACCTGTGCATTTGAGGCCAGCCTGGTCTACAGAGCAAGTTCCAGGACAGCCAGGGCTACACAGAGAAAGACTGTCTTGAAAAACCAAAAAGAAAAAAAAAAAACTCTCTAATGGAACTCGCCAAGGTCTGGACTTCCTAGAAATCCAGCATCCCTTCCTTCTTCTCCATTTCTTCTTCTGGGATGGGAAGTCGTCTATCCTGTGCCTGTCCATCATTCTCTTTTAGGAGCACATGACTTGTCTAGTTTCATGGGGTCGTAGCTAGAGAGAACTTTTGTCTCTGAATGAATTCAAACCCAGTGATCTATGTAACACTCATGTCAAGTTTGAATGGCATCTGATGAAACCGGGAGGGGGGAGGGGGGTGGGGGGGGCGGGGTAGGTCTTTAGGAATGAGATAAGATTTGTGTGGGGGATGTATCTTTGTTTGTTTGCTTTTGAGACAGGGTCTTTCTATGTAGCCCTGGCTGTTCTATAACTTGCTATGTATACTAGGCTGGCCTCAGACTCACAGAGATCTACTAAATGCTAGGATTAAAAGTATGTTATCTCCATGCCTACAGAGATAAGACTTGTTGAAAGCCAGATCTGATGACCACCTGTAATCCCAGAAGGAGGGTTATTGGGAGTTTGAGACCAGCCTGGATTACTGAGTAAGATCTTGTCTCTAAACAAGTGTCCCCCCCCACAACACACACATAAAATAAAATAAGATATTTGGAGCTGGAGAGATGGCTCAGGAGTTAGAGCATTGACTTCTCTATCCAAGGACCCAGGTTCAGTCTCCAACATCCACACAGTGGCTCATGACTGTTTCAACTCCAGTTCCAGTGGACCTGACATCCTCTTCCACCCTCCTCAGGCAGAGGCTGCACACCTTTAATCCCAGCACTTTAGAGCTAGAGACAGGGGAATCTCTGTGAGTTTGAGGCCAGTCTATTCTACAGAGATATTTCCAGGACAGGTAAGGCAAATACAGAGAAACTCTGTTTCGAAAAACCAAAAAAAAAAAAAAAAAGTATTTGCAAAATGTGCTCAAAGACACAAATTATTCACTGGAGATGCTCTTGTTATAAAAGCTGAAAAAAAGCCTAAATGTCCAACAATATGGAATTAGTCAAGTAAATCATAGTGGAGTTGAATAAGGAATTAAGCAGTTATGGAAAAGAAATGAGCTAGAAATACATATCTACTTCAGATGACTATAAATTTTTTGTTTTGTTTTGTTTTTTGAGACAGGGTTTCTCTGTGTAGCTTTGCGCCTTTCCTGGAACTCACTTGGTAGCCCAGGCTGGCCTCGAACTCACAGAGATCCGCCTGGCTCTGCCTCCCGAGTGCTGGGATTAAAGGCGTGCGCCACCACCGCCCGGCCCTATAAATATTTTTAATTTTTAACTACATTTACTAGTTTCTTTAGAGCGTGTGTGAGAGTGCTCACTCACACGTGCCACAGAGTACATGTGGGGCTCAGAGGACAAGCTGTGGTCATGAATTGGAAGTCAGGTTAGCAGACGTGGCAGTAGGCACCTTCAACGGCTATGTCATCCCACCAGGCCAAGCGTATGTATTTACACACCTAGAATAGAGAATCATCTTTAAAACACCTATCTAGATATCAAGCAGGATCGGATTGCCTAGAACACAGCTTTCTAGAGGAGGCCCTGGGCCAGCACTCCAGTCCCAGCTCTGCCCCTAAGTGGGCACGAAAGCTTGGGGCAGGGCCTCAGCTGCCTACCAAGAAGACTGTAAGTGGACTGCAGCTCTTCCCCAAACTTCAGCCCTTCAGACATTGCTCGTGGTTTAGCCAAATGCATCTACTTTATACAGCATCTTAGAATGTACTCGGGCGTGCTGTTTGTTTGTTGTTCAGGGCAGGGTTTCTCTGTGTAGCCCTGGCTGTCCTGGAACTCACTCACAGTATGTTCACTTTTAAGATGAAATAAATGTATTTTATTTGTTTTTGAGACAGTCTTGGCATATGACCCCAGAACTTATCACCTTCTTGCCTTAGTCTCCTAATGCTAGGATCACAGAACATGAATTTTTGTTTTTGCTTTTGTGGGGTTGTTTGTTTGTTTTGATTTTCTGAGACTGGGTTCCTCTGTGTAGTCCTGGCTGTCCTGGAACTCATTCTGTATCCTAGGCTGGCCTTGAACTCAGAGATCCACCTGTCTCTGCCCCCCGAGTGCTGGGATTAAAGGTGTACACCACCACCTCTTGACTTTTTTTTTTCTTTGTTTTTGCTGGGAAATCAAATCTAGGCCCTTAGATGTTCTAGACACTCCATACCACTCACTAGCTGTTGCTTTTGATGGGATTAAACCAAGTATCATATCATCTTCATGGCCTATAGTAATAATATTTTTAAAATCATATACTTTATATGATGATTTTCCACTGTCCATTGAAGTCATGGATATTAAAAGAACAAAATTAAGATTCTACCAGAAGCCATTTGCCATCAACAGCTGGAGAAAGGAAATCCCAGAATAGAGAACCACTGAGATTTTGTCAACCCTAGCCACCATGGAACACTGGACTTCCTAGGAACAGATTTCCAACAACAAGCTCATTCAACTCAATGTTTTCCTCCCCGGGTTGGGGGACAGGGAACCCCACCTTTAGTCAAAAAATTATTCTGATGTCCCAGAATCCTCGTCTGGTCAGGGAGCTTCCAGAAGAACAGACGGCTCTTCTGGGAACCTTCGCAGGGCAGTTCCACCGAAGCCCCTTCTTTGCCCAACACCACTGTCTTCCCGTGAGTGACAGCCGGGAGTTGTACTGGGTAGAAAAGAAGGTCAGGCTTCAATGTTACCGCGGCCTCCCTCTGAGCGTCTCCCATCCGCCCACCTCCCGCACCATCTGCTGCTGGTCCTCCAGTCTGAGAACTTACCCAGCTGCAGCGCCAGGAACAAGTGCCTAAAAGAGATTCCTCGGTTCATCGTGGCCTTGCTGAGATGGACAGGCTGAATTGCTGGGGATCTGAGTCTGGGAAAATGGCAGGGGCGGAGGAAAATAGAAACCATTACTCTTAGGCTTTCCTTGGGCCTGGAGCACACAAGAGCTTTCTCTCTCTCCCCCCTCAGGACCTTTATAACCAACCCTGAGAACCTTATCTGTATATGCTACGCAGGCACGCTGCAGTAATGTACCACAAAAGTCCGTGCCAAATTAAGACTGTGTGATGTTGGTAGCATAATAGCAATTTTAACATCCTAAGCAATAGCAGCATATAACACAGACACAGAAGAAAGTATATGCGTGGGTGTCAAACACAAACTACAGTTTCAAGCACTTCCATGAAGAGTTACAGTCTCCTACCCTGGCACAGAGGTACACATGTGTAATCTTAGTACACATGTGTAATCAGGAGGCTGAGGCAGGAGGACCATGAGTCCAAAGCCAGCAAGGACTACATAGTGAGACCATATCTTAAAAGTAAAACTAAAGGGGCTGGAGAGTTGACTCAGCAATGGAGATCATGTGTTGCTCCTATGGAGGACCCAGGTTTGATTCCTAGCACCCACATGGCAGTTCCATCTGTAACTTCAGACCTCGGGGATACAATGCCCTCTTCTGAACCCAGCAGGCTCCAGGCACCCAGGTGGTGCACATACATACATGCAAACACCCATACACATAAAATACATTTTTTTTAGTAAAGAGAGAGAGAGAATTCAAGGCCAGCCTGAGCTATATAGCAAGTTCAAGGCTAACCTGGGTTATATGAGACCCTGTCTCAAAGGTGGAGAACCTACTAGTCTTTTAATAAAAGTAATTACAGCCTGGTGGTAGTGCACATCTTTAATTCCAGCACTCAGGAGGCAGAGACAGGTGGATCTCTGAGTTCAAGGCTAGCCTGGTCTACAGAGCAAGTTCCAGGACATCCAGAGCTATACCGAGAAACCCTGCCTCAAAACAAAATTAAAAAGTAATTATTTCTGATCTCTTTGCTTAAGAAACACCTAGTTTTGAACTGGTCAGTTGGTAAGATGTTTACCATGCAAATGTGAGGTCTGGAGTTTGGAACCCAGACCTCACTTAAAAGCCAGGAAGGCACTTATAATCCCAGTAACTGGGAGTCAGGGACAGAGGATCCCTGGAGCAAGCTGGCATGGATACCCATACCCACCCCCAACATGCTAACTCAAACATACATACTTGCTCACACATAAATCTTGTTATGAGAGACAATATTATGAGTGGGTTTTGTTGCTTTGATAATTATTTAGAGCTTTGGACAAGTAGTTCATAAAAGAAGCTATTAGATTCTGATAGAGAAACATCTCTTTTTAGTTTAGATTTCTGTCCTGGTTAGACTTGGGTTTTAAAATTATAAAGATTGGCTGGAGCAGTGGCTCAGCCATTAAGAACACTGGCGGCTCTTTTAGAGGACCTGGGTCCAGTTCCCAGCACTCACTGGTGGCCTGTCTGGAACTCAGTCCCATAGCACCAGATATACACATGGTGCATAGCCACACATAGAAACAAAACATCCATACACATAAAACATTTAAAGTATAAGCATAGACTGACAATTTCATTTCATATAAATAAAATAATATAGGCATGCACGTACATGTACATACACACACACACACACACGTACATATATATATATTTAGGTCCAGGTTCAGAAACTTTGGTAAACCATTTTCAGATACCTTTATTTCACCTATAAACCGGATCACCTTTACTGATATTGTAAAAATTGTTTTGTTTTATTTTTCCCCTGTGGTGGGCCTAGAACCTAAAGATTTCCACATGCCAGGTAAGTGTGCTGTTACTGAGCTGCTCTCTCAGTCCTGAAAACTGTAATTTTCAAATATTTAGCATGTTTACAGATGGACCTTGTACCCAGGCTGCCTCATTGGCTTCTTTTCTCCCTTTGTGGTACGAGGGTTGTACCCCGCCCCTTGCACCTGCTGGGCAAGAGCTCCATTACTGACCTGGATCCTCAGCACTTTGGGTTTTGTTGCATATCCTGCCTGCTTGCCAAAAACAGAGCTACTCCAAGACTGAGTGCCACTGACAGGCGGGGCCCCGTCAACTTTAAACATGCTCCATCTGTGCAGGACTGGGCCCGGTCACGGATGCACAGGAGCTCATGAGGCCACAGCCCTGCCTCTCCCTGAGGAACTACGGGTAGCAGACAGCTGGAAGAGGATCAGTCATGGTCCTCAGTGGTGTGGACACTGGTAGCTTGCCCATGCATCAGATAGCTCCAGACCCGTGCTCTGGGGCTACCCTAGTTAAACTGGGTGGGTCAAGAAACAACATAACCAAAAAGACACGAGAAGGGGACTTGTTGGGAAGAGGAGAGTAGTTGACAGGGGTGGGCGAAAGGTAAGGTGGGGAGGGTGAGTGACCAGAACGCGTTGTACACATGGACAAGATTGTCTAAGAGAAAAGCATCAAACCGAAAACAAAACACATTACTTACTGAAGTGAGCAGGGGTAGCTGTTATTAACTTAATTTTTTTACTTTGTTTGCTTATTTATTTATCTATTGTGTATGTAACACTTGCGTGGCAGTCAGAAGACAACCTGTGTGAGTTCCTTAGGGGTCTAGACAGACGACAGGCCTAGTGACAGGCACCTTTGCCCACTAAGCCATTTCGCCAGCCCGGTTTACTCATGTTGGGATGGGACTCAGGGCCACACACATTAGTCAAGTGCTCTACCACTGAGCCCCTGTGGCGACGGTGGCAATGTTTTAATAAAAAAATCTCAAAAAATTTAAAAATGGGGAACGCAGCTCAGCTAGTAAGTGCCTGCCTGGCATATGTGAGACCCTGGGTTCGGGAACATCAGGTGAGTTAGTGGTACCAGCTGTGGTGGTACATACCAATAATGCCAGCACAGGAGGCAGAGAGAGGCAAGAAATCAGGAGTTCAAGGTCATCCTCAGCTATACAGACAGAGGCCAGTCTGGGCTATGTGAGACCCTGTCAAAATTTTTTTCAGATGTTTTTCAATATTGTGCCCTGGCCAATAACTTCCTTGTGGATGGAAACAGAAAATGATTTAAGAAGATGCCCAAGTGATGGGGACTGAGACAAGGGGCCAGAACAGTATCTGAAGGTCCTGGAGTGCAGGCTAAAACCCTGGGACTTGACCTTGGAAGCCTGAGAACCAGCAGACAGTTTTAGGTAGAGAAGGTGATTCTGGTTGCAAAACGGATTCCTCCAGCTGCAGGATAAAGGCTGAACCTGAGAAGGCAAAGCTGTGATTCTAGTGAGGGGACACAATCTCTCTAAGACAGCTGGAAGGTGCGAGAGAGCTGGGGGACAGGGTGTGTGTCTGTCTGTCTGTCTCTCTTTCTCTCTCCCCTCCCCTCTCCCTCCCGCTCTCTTTTTCTTTTCTTTTCTTTTCTTTTCTTTTCTTTTCTTTTTGTTTGTTTGTTTGTTTTTGTTGAAGACAACCTGGAGCTCCTGATCCTCCTGCCCCGGACCTCCCAAATTCTGGGATTATAGGCATGTACCACCACCTTGCCTGGCTTCAGATGAAAAACTCAGGACTTAGAGTCATACAGTGTGAGGGCTGAGAGACAAACAAAACAAAGCCCCAGAAGGTTCGCTTCCTGCTCAGCATCAAGTCTGGGTCACGAGGAAGACAAGGACTTTCGCCTGTGGATGAAGTCGACAGTTGAGGCTGTGGAGGGAAGGAGGGCAGCAGACCGGCGTGGGCTCCGAGGAGGGGACAGCATTACAGTAGAAGAGTAATTCTCACTACCAGCCGAGCCATAGCTGGCCTGGAACTCACTATGTAGACCGGGCTGGCCTCGAACCCACAGAGATTTGCCTGCCTCTGCCTCCCAAGTGCCGGAAGAGTGATTCTTTGCTGCAACATATCCAGGAAATATCTGAGAAACTGAGTTTGTAAGAAACAGATCCATGGGCCCACCCCAGACCTGGGGATCCGAAGTGGGGGATGGGGTGAGTCATTTGCATTTTCACAAACCTCTCGAAGACCCAGACATGCTCAAGTCCCGAAACATGACTTAGGGGGAGGAGAAAGGGGAGGAGCATTCTGGGTCCCTCAGCACTGAGGTGTGGGGGTGTGCTGGATGTGCTGAGAACAAAGAGCTTGGGAGAGCAGGTGCGGGGAGGGGAGCTGGGAGAGGAGGGTATTGGGGCCTGACAGTAAATAACAGGCTAGCGAGGAGAGTTGAGACTCGGTTCTGGAGGTGCCTGGAGCCACTGTTGACCTCTCTCTCTCTCTCTCTCTCTCTCTCTCTCTCTCTCTCTCTCTCACACACACACACACACACACACACACACACACACACACACACACACACACACACTGCAACCCCGGGGCCCAGGCTGTAAGTGGGCCTCAGGGAAGTGATTGTTTGGGTGAAACTCCCCAGGGATCTGGTCCAGAGCTGGTAACACAAGATATTCATGAAGACTTTTTTTTACCATCCTTTCTCCCAAGCCCGATGATTCCTTCCCCTGGGTAAACCCTCGCCGCCGCCATGTCACTCCTCAGCAATCTGCCCTCTCTGAACTGGCTCAGCTCTCTGTTGTCGCTCTCCTGGCCATGCCCCATTTTCCTCCTCAAGACAGAACGATTCCTGTAATCCCTTCCCCGACAGCCCGAACAGTCCGGGCTGCCTCAAGCCATCACAAGGCTGGCACCGGCGGGAGCTCAGAGACTGGACAATGTGCCTGCTTAGCTTAAGCCAAGTAGGATGGACGGAGAAAAGTAACTCGATGATGCGTCTCACTGCATGCAGTACATTAATTCTGCTTCTTAAATGGGTCATTGAAGGCTGGGGATGTAGCTCAGTGGTACGGGGTTTGCTCAGCAGGCCCTGGGTTCCATCCTCAGTACTACAGAAGTGTAGCCACAAGGAAGGAAGGGAGTTGGGGGGGGGGGGCCTGAGGAGGAGGGAAGAGAAGGAAGGCCAGTCACAAGTGTATATTCACACCCAGCCCTGGTCCGGATGGAACCAAGTCGTCCTCATCCATACAGCTTATTATTTTCCATTGTCTGTGCCCAAACTCCACAGAAGGGGCTGGCTGCTATTGACCGTGTCCTTTAGGCTTCCTGGCCCTCTAGGGACCACTGGGGGTGCCAATGGGAAATGCCAAAGGAGATGGGAGTGTCCCAGCAAGAGACACTCTTGTGTTTCCCTACTCTCTCTCCATGCTCTGGGTGTTCACCACCAATGGCTGTGTGTGTCCACCCTGCCTCCGCCCTGTCCCATCACCACCAATGGCTGTGTGTGTCCACCCTGCCTCGGCCCTGTCCATCACCACCAATGGCTGTGTGTGTCCACCCTGCCTCCGCCCTGTCCCATCACCACCAATGGCTATGTGTGTCCACCCTCCCTCCGCCCTGTCCCATTGTGACTGCTGTCTGTCCGTCCTTATCCACAATTTGGGCTCTTCCTGCTTCCAGAAACACCATTCTTGCCTGGTTGGTCTTAGCCCTGTCCCTGACTCTGTAATAACTCCTTTTCTACACAGTCCCTTGAACCATCTGAGGGAGGTTTCCTACTGGGCTCTAATACATAATTTTTTTAATTATTGTTGTGTTATGAGAGAGAGGGAGGAGGAAGAGAGAATGTCAGAGGATGCCAACTCTCTCCTTCCACCTTCCCATAGGTGCTGGGGATTGAGCTCAGGTCATGACGCTTGTACGTTTACCCCCTGGACCAGAGCAACCCCAACTACACAATTTTTTAAAATTATTTATTTATTTTTACTTTATATACATTGGTGTTTTGCCTGTATGTATGTCTGTATGTGGTAATCAGATCCCCTGGAACTGGAGTTACAGACAGCTGTGAGCTGTCATGTGGGTGCTGGGAATTGAACCCGGGTCCTCTGGAAGAGCAGCCAGAGCTCTTAACCACTGAGCTTTTGCTCCAGCCCCCCAAATACATAATTCTTGACAGGGATGTAGCACTCAGAGGAGATGCTAGAGGCGTTTGGAGGAAGCTAAGAAATAGCCCTGTCCACTTCCTCCACGGGCTGAAAGGAATTTTCCAGAACCTACCTAAAACACAATAGATGCTTCAGATGGATAGACAGATAGACGATAGATACACACACACACACACACACAGAGAGAGAGAGAGAGAGAGAGAGAGAGAGAGAGAGAGAGAGAGAATGAGAATAAATTTTGTTTAAAACAGGAAGCTAGAAAGAGAAGTTGTCAAAAGATGTGTCTTGGAAAGGTGGGCATGAAACTCGTCACTACAGTCATGAGGGGTCCTTACGAGTTGGCTCAGTTAGCTCGGGGTGGGGCCTGCAGAGCATTTAAGGGAAGGGTGTGGCGTCAAGAGCCGTAGCGGCAGCCTAGCCCCGAAAGGGTTTCCTACTGCCCCCCACCCCCAGCCCAGATGGAGAATCTTTTTGAGCAGATGTGTCCTTGGAGTAGAAGTTAACAGAGAAAGTCTCTCTCCCTCTAGGGATCCGAATTCCCTTGCCCTGGTAAAGATGCTTGAGGAATGAGGGCGTCCCTGGCTCTTCCCCAGATGGTAGCCACTTTCTCCCCCTCACTCCCAGACTCTGCGGAGAGCTATCTCTGTCCCCAGCTCCGGCGTCACCCCAGTGCACCCCAGGCTTTGGCTTTAGTGGAGGAGGCTGTGGGTTTCCAGCCACAGCCGACTTTGGTGCCTTGCGCTTCCGCTGCCACCCCAGAGACCCGGCCTTTGATTCCCACATCCTCAGCCTCCCCAGAGGTGCTCTACCTCACAGCATCCTGTGTACATCACCCCTGGAAGAAGCTCCAGGGACTGACTGACTGCAATGTCCCCTCCCCCGCTCGGCTCACATCTGCATTTCTGAATCTCTCTTTTCCAGGCGCATGCTTCAGTCCTCAGCTCCTGGGGTGTCTCCCTCTGGGCTGCAGCCACTGCTGTTCTCCTTGGGGCTCCCCTGTCTCTTTTTTTTCTCCTCTTTCCCCTCTCTAGATACCACTAAGATCTAGTTCTTTCTACGCTGTAAACAAGCAGCCTGGCTTCCTGCAGACCAGCAGGTCTTTCACAGGCTTTGATCTGAGGCGAAGCTGCAGAGGATGGGCTGGACCCAAGGGGTGGATGTGAAAGGAACTGGCTGCCGAGTGGAGAGACACAGTGGACAGAGAACAGTAGACAGCTTTTCTAGAAACAAAACAAAACTCAGAGGTCTCAAGGGAAGGAGAACGGGGCTTCGAAAGGCCATTAAAGCAACAGCCACCCTTCACCCTTCACAGGCTCCACCAACACACAAAGAGCACAGGGCCTGTCAGAAATGATAGAGGAGAGGCATAGAAATGAAGGGATTCGGAGAGGCAAGATGCATGCCGGGAACACAGAAGAGACAGAGAGGGAGCACACAAGGGACGGTATCAAAATGGCAATACATACCACACACCTTTCAGGGTGCTTGAGGTTCCTGCCACCCTCACAGGGCCCCCAGAGATGGGAGAGGAGGCCTCAGTGCCGGCACAGCCCCACCACAGCGACAGTCTGTGGTCCCACAGGCACTTTTATCTTCCCCCCTCAGCCCCCAGTCAGCCCGCTCTAGCCCAGCCATGGGATGTGCCCCCCACCACACACCCTTCAACTCTGGCTGGCTTTGTATAAACTTCCTAGAGATGTGACCCTCCAAGCGACCCTTGTGGTTCAGCGGCTGCAACCTCTGCCAACCTCTCCTCCGCCTCAGATGCCCGCAAGCTGGAGGGTGGGTGGGGTGGGTGGGGGTGGGTGGGGGTTCTGTACCCCCTCCTGCCCTAGTCTCTGAAAGGTCTAGACAGAGCTGGAAACAGCACTCAACATTGACCCTACAGATGCCCACCCGTGTCCATCTTCCCCACATTGATCTCATTTCCCATCTCCATCCAAGTTATTCAGTCCAGCGAACACTCACTGAGCGTCGAAAACGTGCCACACCTGGCCACCCAACTCCAGCCACTGTGGCCAGGAGCAAGACCCAAGGCCACTTCGAGTCTCTGCCTAGAACTGGGTGATGGTTGGGGGAGAATGTGTATTTCGAGGCAGGCCTCTACAGTGAGTGTCCGGGGTTGAAAGGGGACAGTGGTCCCTGCGTATCTGACTGACTCCTCAGGGGCCCTTCCCTCAGCCCTGCAGGGCGGCCATTTTGTATCAACCCACAGATCCAAGACAGCACCAGAAATCAGAACAAGAAGTAGCAGTGGTCTCCCTCATCAGGGTCTTCTCCCTGCCTTGCTTGCCCCCCCCCCAAAAAAAAACAACAACTCTGTGCCCTGCAATCAGGACATTTGGAAAGTCCTACAACTCTGTTCAGCAGAGTCTTTGAATTATCAAAGAACCTTCTATTTTGAAGGATCAGACTGAACTTCAGGGGACCCCTCTCCAGGAACAAGTCTATGAACTGAAGGACATTGGGGGCTCAGCATGACTTCCCGACCATGTGGTGCTAAGAGATGTGAAGGGTCTGACTGAGGGTGTGGAGGCAGGGGGCTAGAGTTGGATAACTCACTCCATCTTGAGAAATAGAGTCCTGCTTCATGCCCACTGCCCACCAAGAACACCAGGGTCTGTAGCCAAGACCAACTCTCTTAGGATCAACTGTTCTGACCACATGTCTACCACAAAAAGTACCCACTTAGAGCTCTCCAGAGGTAAGAGTCCAGTTTTGATACTTTCTGAGACTCTCACTGCCCCGTTTCCTAACTCACACTAACTGAAACAGGGTTCCTTTCAAAAATTCTGAATATCAATCCAGGTATAATGGCATGTGCCTTGGTCCCAGTGGCTGGGGAGGCTGAGGCAAAAGTGTCCCCAGAGCCCAGCCTGAGCCTAGGCCAGTCCAGGTAACATACGTAGTGAGACCTCAAAAACAAAGTACAAGCCAAACTCCTAAAACTTCACAGGAAAAGACAGGAGTTAGCACTCTCTCTCTCTCTCACACACACACACACACAAGATCTACGGAAAGCATGTGGTTTAAACTGTTCTTGACTCTGTGATGCTTGGTGAAGGTCTTTAGTGGCGATTTTAGAAAAGCTACATGGAGTCCACTTTGGTGGACTCCTCTTTCTCTGTTCATTCCTGATGTCTCCTCCATATTCAACACCTGTCCATTCTCTCTAATCATCCCTCCTCTCCGTAACTGTCCCTGCCTTTTCTTTCTTCCTGGCTTCGCCTCTCCACCACGGCCCCTGGCCCTGCAGTCTTCTGCTGTCTCTCAGCCATTGCCTCCCTGAGCTTGCATTCTAGTCAGGGTACTTCAGCTGAGCACCTGCTGCTCTGGGCACGGTACTGTGCCAGGGTGGGCCGGCGAAGATGAGTATGGCTTGCTGCTTAACCTTTTGAAGCTCATGGTTCCAGTAGGAGATCACTGTTTCATGACCTATCCTGAGAGAAACGCGTGAGAACTGGGCCACAGCTAGGAACAGAGAGCCGCATCCAGAACATTCCGGCGCATCTGCCGCCATGCTTGCTGCCCCTTCCAGTTCCTTGAAGGAATGAAGCCAAGCGCGCCCCTTACCTCTGGCCAGCTCGTCTTCACGCTGCTTCTTGCACAGGTGTGTCTGTGTGAGGGTTCGAGGCTCTGCAGACAGGTTCCTAGTGAGGGAGAGAGTTTTGCTATGTCTTCACAGATGTTCGTAAGTGAAGAAACAGGAAGCCTGGTATTGAGGCTCCTCTACACGCCAGACGTGGGCCAGCCCTCTGGAGTCCCTCCCTTCTACCCTAAGCTGTTGGGGAAATTGACGAGTTAAAACTGCCAAAGTCATTGGAAATAGCTGAGCCGAGTCAGGCTAGAGCCTGAATGTCACTGTCGTCTGTTTGGGGGCAAGAAAAAAAAGGGCTGACACAGCCAGATTCAGCTGGCATGAGGCAGGGCTTAGGGGCACATAACTGTAACCCCAGCACTTGGGAGATTTAGGCAGAAGAATCACAAGTTCAATGCCAGACTGGACTATATAGTAATGCCACGTTAAAAAAAAAAAAAAGGTCAGTCAAAATGTCATCAGTGGAAAATTTAGATGAGATTACATTGCCCAACAAACCCACCAAGTCGGCTGTTTAGAGGTGATTAAGGGCCTAGAGGAAACAGCAAGGGCCAATATGGCTCCACGGCAGCTCAAGCAGTTCTGGTTTTGCCTCGCTCCTTTCCTGTGGACTGAGTAGGTAGCATATTGCCAAGAAGCAAAATGCATGATGAGACTTTTGTGTGTCTCCTCTGTGAAAAGGTACGGATAAGCCATTTAGACTGCGTGGCCTCTCTGACAGGAAGAGTAGGGTCGCTGTGTTTGGACAGGTGGGCAAACACAGCCCTGCTTCCTTTAGTGACAATTTGAGAGCAGCTGCAGCCACCCCACAAAGGGATTCTCGTTCCACACCCCTGAGCATATCTGTGCGGTGTGGCTTCTTCCAGGACTGTGAACAGCAGCAGCAGCTGTGTATCTGGCCCATGGTGGCAGAGAAGGGCTGGGCTGAAATGTGGATGTCTGAGAGGACAAGAGTGACCATGGACCACGCTGTGGCTCACATCGTTACACCCAGCCCGATACGCACCGTGAGGAAGGAAAGAGACACTTATGGGTTCCAAAGGTTTTGTTAAAAACCACATAAGAGGGTCACTGATGGATCAGGGCTGCAGGACAAGGACTCAGGAGCTTTGTTGCTCTTGACAGCCTCAAACAGGGCCGGAAGTAGGGTTTATAAGCATAAAATGCGCAAACGTGTGTTACCAAGTTACAGGTTCAATCGGGAATCAAAGGTTTGGGACTTTCCTTGTGTGTTCCATCATTGTCAATCGACATACAATGCAAGCTTTTCAGTCCAACCAATCAGATTCATTTGTTCTTTCTGTTGTTAGGGACAGCCATAATGTTTCAGAGAACTAAAGATGGATAGCAACTATTTCTATGGTTTAGGGAGGAGGTTGATTGGCCATTAGAAAGTTCTCAGCTCCTCTACAGGTAAAATGGAGTCTGAAGTCAAAATGGCAGTACTCAGGCCAAAGTGCTTTTGCCTGCTCCTTCAGCATTTCACATATTCTTGTCTAGCCCAGATCTCTCAGATCTCTCCTAAGTTCTCCGGGTAGACACCCGCCTTCCCACTGAACATCTCCACTTGCATGTTTACCATAATGTGGTGGAATAAGAATGGCCCCCCTAGGCTCATATATTTGAATGCTTAGTCACCAGGGAGTGGCACTATTGGAAAGGATTAGAAGGATTAAGAGATGTGGCCTTAGTCCACGTTTAGGTGGCACACGCCTCTGATCCCAGCACTCGGGAGGCAGAGCCAGGCGATCTCTGTGAGTTCGAGACCAGCCTGGTCTACAGAGTGAATTCCAGGACAGGCACCAAAACCACACAGAGAAACCCTGTCTCAAAAAAACAAAACAAAACAAACAAACAAATAAAAAAGGATAGCTTTTCCTACCCTCCCATCAATAAGCCCCTAACCACTGCAGCCTCCAACCAATCAGCCCCCAGACTAATCTTTCCTCCACCAATCAAGACCAGATTAATCCCTCTTCCCTGGAATTCCCCTAACTCCGCTTAAAAGGATCTTGCGACCTCCCTTCAGGGTTGCTATTTGCCACCCCAACATGCTGAAAATAAACGTTTTTGCTAAATTGCATACGTGACTGTTGGCCTTTCTTGGGGGCTTCTCTCAGACCTTAACACTAAATGTCTTCAAAAATCTCTCCAGACCACTCTACACCAATACCACCATTCCAGGCTTGGGAGACACTGCCACCCTATGCTAGCTCCTACCTCCCGTCTCCTGGCCTCTCCTGTTGGAGTCCAGATGGTCAGCTGTCCCCCTGACCCAGATGTAGCCCCATGACTGCATGACTTTGGAAACTACAAGCACAGATAAAACCTAGGAGGAATGTCCTCCGGAGCAACACAAAGCCACAAGGGCGAGGGAGTGTAGATCTAAGGGGACAGAGATGCTGTTTGTCCAAGCCCTGCTTGTCACGAATCTCCAGTAGCTAGAGAGACAACATATAAACAGTGCTGGGAAAAAGAAAAACTGTTCATGTTTTTGTTTGCTTGTTTTTTGAGACAGGGTTTCTCTGCATAACCCTGGCTGTCCTAGAACTTGCTTTGTAGACTATACTGGCCTCCAGTTCACAGAGACTGCCTGCCTCTGCCTCCCGAATGCTGGAATTAAAAGCTTCTGCCACCACGCCCGGCAAACTTGCTCATTCTTGAAGTGAACCCAGAGTCTTGGGTCTCTGTCTTCCAGTACCTTTTTTCCAGGTCTGTTGGATTCCCACGGTTGGACTGGCCATGATGCTCTCTATTCTGCCTTCCTCCAGATGTGTTCCACACAGCAGCCGGAGTGATCACTAAATGGTGCATAGGTACTCTGGCCATTCCCCTACTCTGAAAAAAGTAGCCTGGTTTCAGGCCCGAAGAGATGGCTCAGTGGTTAAGAACACTGGTTGCTCTTCCAGAGGACCCAGGTTCGATTCCCAGCACCTACCTGGTGGCTCACAACTGTCAGTAACTCCAGCTTTAGGGGATCCACCCCTATCTTCTAGCCTCCTTAGGTACCAGGTGCACACAGGACGCACAAACATGCAGGCAAAATACCCCTACACATTTAAAAAAACAAAAATTAAATAGTGGCTACTTCAGCAAGATGGGTATGGAGAGGGGGAAGGATAAGATAAAAACAAAGTACAATGACATGTATGTATAAAAACGCCATAATGAAACCCATCACTTTAATACAGTAAAGGACTGGAGAGATAGTTCAGCAGTTAAGAGCACTGGCTGCTAAAATAAATTAACTATTAAAAAATAATAATAATAAAGGAGAGATACTAAAAGCGTAGTTAGGCTTGTAACACCCACAACGGATAAGTGCGTCTACTCACGGCAACCATCGCAACTTCATCTGCAGCAAAATGCTCTCTGCTTCTTCTTGCTTCGTAACACAGTGTTCCCAAGGGTTGCATTTTAATAAAATTAAATTTTATTGTTTCATCAAAGACATTCTTCAGGAAAAAATGGGCCTGTTTTAAACTGCAAGTGCCTGGCCGCAGAGGGCCTTACTACATTGTTTTCCTGCCACGGCCTCGCTTTGTGCTGAGGCAGCAGTTTCGCCAGGAAGCTTTAGCAGCCTCGCTGGGATGCCACACAGCAACAGGCAAATGGTGTCGTGTGGCTCTTAGGGAAGTAGCTTGCCCTTTAAGACCCTCTGGAAGGTTTCAGGGCCTCCTAGGGGTCCACAGGCCACACTTACATGTTGAGAACCACAAATCTAGGGAACTTTTATTCATTCTTCAGATCCCAGCTATCTTTATAACTATGTCTCAAATCAGTTTTCTCCTTCTTAGTAATGGGCCCTCAGTTCTTTTAGCGCTTGTGTGTTCACAAGAAAGAGAGAGAGGTTCTTCTGTGTGAGTGCAGGTACGAGTGTGTCACTGAGCACAGGCAGGGGTCAAAGGACAATCTTTAGCTGGTCATCACCTTCCTCCCTGTTTGAGAAAGGGTCTCTTGCTCACTGCTGCATATCCTGGGTGCAGGAGCTTCCTGGGGCTCCTCTCTCTCTGCCTCCTGTCTCACCATAGGAGCGCTGGGGTTGCAGACATTCACGACAGTGTCTAGCTGGCTTTCTGTGGGGTCTGGGTATCCAAATTCTAATCCTCAAACCTGCAAGGCAAATACTTTCTCCACTGAGCCCTCTCCCTAGCCCCAAAACTCACAATCTTTATCTGAGCTCAATTTTTATTGATTATTTATTTTAAGATGGCATCTTACTATATTGCCCAGTCTGATCTTCAACTCCTGGGCTTAAACAATCCTCCTGCCTCAGCCTCTTGAGTAGCTAGGATTACAGAACTGGAGCACCAGCTCTCTGGCTTTAGAGACCTGGGATCTGACACACATTCCCAAGCTTTCTTGCAGTTGACCTGGCCAGGTGACTCAGTTTTGTGAATGAAGTGAAGTGAAAGTGTCAGACAGACCTCTGAGCTGCTCTTTTAAAGCGGCCCCTGTGGGCCCCCCTCCCTCGGGCTTCCTTTTCTGTCAGTCTGGTATGCAAATACCTTCTCTATAGCCTATAGCCAGCCCTCCTTTCTCATTGCATCACCCAGCAGCCTTCAGCAGGCAGTGAATTTGTGCTCTAGACTCATCCATCCAACCATCTATCCACACACTCAAGGGGTGTTAAGTAGGCACCAGCCCGAGGCGCTTCACTCAGTGCTGGGGTGTAACAGTGAAGGTGAGTATGTAGTAGTGAATATGGGAACAGAGAGGGATCCACAAGCTTTGGCGCACATCCATAATGAATGACCGCATTGCAAATGGCATGCTCTACAAAAGGAAAAAAAGTATGGCGGGCTGAGAGGGCTTACCACAAAGTAGCCTTGTGTCAACAGTTAGTGTATTATTAAGCACCACAAGCTTTTGTCCGTTGCAAATGGAAGAAAGCTCCAAACAGTGGCTTGATTGACCAAGATACGAGTTTATTCCTCATATGAAAGAGGTCCAGGGTGGATGGTTCTGTGGGAGGGAGCACCAGGAACTCCATGCCAGGGTCTAGGCTGTCAGCATCCTGTTGCTTTCCCATCATGACTTCTGCCCATAGTCTAAGGCCACTCCAGTTCCTCA